AGTTCTTTAAGGTCCTCCTGGAAGAGGTCCCTCTGGAAGAGGTCCCCGTGGTGGAGCTCTGCAGCGGGGCCTGCTGATCCATTGACCATGACGGGAGAGCTGTCCTCAAGCGCTCTCTTCCAGCTGAGCTGAGCAGTCACCGATCGCTCCTCCACCTGAAGGTCGTTCAGTTTCTGTTGGACCTACGTGCCAGAAGAATTTTTTAAAAATGACACGATTAAAGAACAGAGACAACACTTAAACACAGATATGATGAATTCTGTAGCCAGTGTACACAGAAAGTACAGCATTAGGAACACACTGGTGGAGCCACAGCAGTGTTGCTCCATCAGTATAATCACTGCAGCTATTATTCATGCGTTTGGGTAACAGTCGTGCAGCCTGCTGATTACAGTGGAAAATAACATTTCCATCAGCTGCGTAGGTGCCAAAAAATGTTTTCTCTGCAGACATGCTGCACGAAACCAGGGAAGAGCTTTTAACCTGTGCAACTTGTGTGAAAGAGTCACGCACAGACTCCTGAAGAGGAGTGAGCTGCTCCTGGGCAGCCTGGACCTTCTCCTGAAGTTTCCGGCTCTCCTCCTGCAGAGCCAAAAGCTCCTCTCGGGCCTGGACCAGCTCCTCCTCATACTGACATATCCTTTGTTCCTGCTCCTCGTGCTCTGACTGCAGAGATGAGATCTGAAAGGAAAGGAACCAGAATTCTAGGTGATTACACGGCTCCTCAAACGGTTACCAAAAAAAAAAAAAAAAAAGAAGAAGAAGAAGAAGGAGGCAACTTACAAGTTGGGTCTCCTGGTTGGTCTGCTGTCGAATGTGAGTGAGCTGCTCCTCCAGGGAGGCCTTCTGTTGGTCCAGCTCATCTAAAGCATCTTGAACCTTCTGACGCTGAGCCTGAAGTTGCTGCAATACTTCGGTTTCCTTTGCCACCTCATCTTGAAGGTCCTGTGGACATAAAGTCAAAGGGGGGAGGGAGGGAGATTCAATAACAGAGAGGAAGTGAGCAACAAAGAGACTTTGGAAAACAACCTTTAACGTTACTGATTTTTGGAAAGATAATAGTAATAATAATAAGATAATAAACTTTATTAATCAGGGAAATGTAACTGTTACATCAGCTCAACAGAATAAAACAAGAGAAATGTGGTAAAATAAAAGATTAAAAAGATACATTCACATAAATGTGTATGTAAGTAGATGGTTTTATGAAGAAGGTGAGAAAAAGAAAAGAATAGAGAAGAAAAACTGGTGAAACCAAGTTAAAATAATGTGCACTAATGCTGTGTTACAGTGTTACAAAGTAACCACGTTTCTAGTCTAAATACTAACTTTTAATACAATTCCTGAAAAAGCTCAATCGGCTGTTATATGTCAGCTTGCCGGAGGGAGAAAGGCTGACGTCACAGTGTGGAAGTATTTTTGTTTACAGGCTGCAGATCGTTTTGCAGCTCAGTGAGTCAGTGAGATGTTAACATCCTTTCAGCAGCGGCAGCTTTTAATCTCTATACTAACATCAGAAACAACACAAAGTGCTTTAACAACAACATGTTAAGGCAGATAGATTATGGAAATAAAAGCTTGTGCTTTGCATGTATTTCTCTTTATTAAATTCCCATGTTAGAAAATTTGTATTTCCTCGATTCTTAGAAAATCACTTCCTGTTTTGAGGCTTTCCAGGGTTTGATTTCAAAGGTGGTACGACTGCCACAAAACCCATTCTTAACCTCTGCTTGGGTATGTGCAGTATAGCACGTCCAGGAATAAACTCAGACAATATAAATAACCAGAAGCACTCGCACATAAGTACAATCGAGTGCAGCTACAGAATTCAGCTACATCCGCTCCTTCGATACCCTCGCACTCGGACTCATTCCTGAAGAACTCTGCAGCCTCGCCCCTTTAAGCCAAACAGCTCCCAAAATAGAGCCCAGACGAGGCAGATCAGCCTCTTCCTCTCCGAGTATCACTAACTGCATTTCTGAACAAGCGTCTCAGACTGCAAATCAAATGTGTTATTGATCTTCTCCTCCAGAACATTCAGCACCATAAAGGTGAGCTCACCAACCTGCATTTGTTTTGCTTGTTTGTTGGTTTTTAAAGGGAAAACAGACAGAAATGCACACGTGGTAAAATCTCACAAAGAGACCTTACCTGCACTTCGGTGCTGCGCTGTCGGATGGCCTCCTCCTTCTCCTTGATCTCCTCCTCCACAGAGCTCTTCTCCCTGGGGTTGCAGCAAAGGAGACAGGTGTATTTAACCACCAAGGGGAGCACCAGCCCACCAAGCCCAAGCCAGCTCTCTAGTGAGCATGCTTTACCCGGCCCCTGAACCTCCACCAGCTCCTCTCCCTCAGCCACCATGATGTTCTCCTCGACTCCCAACTTTACAGAAGAGAAAGCAGCATCAAGTCCTGCAGCGAGAGCAGGTGTGTGTGAGCGCTGCGCTGTGGGCGACTGCATTGCTCAGTCAAACGCGTGGGAGAAAGAGCGAGAAGCAGATGGCTGCTTCGGGGATGGAAGAGAGGAGGAGGGACGAGTGATGATCTGCCAACCTCCAACATCTATCATCTGAGCCGTCCGTGTGCTCATCCTCTCTACACTTTTTCAAGCATGCAGCAAGAGGGAAAGAAGAGACGG